GACGAGGGGCTGCCGGGCACGGTGAGGCTGGTCAGCCTGGACAAGAAGTGACCTGCTGGCGCGAGGGAGGCGATCCGGGGCACGGAGGCGGGTGCCCTGGGTGCGGTGAAGCCGAAGCGGGGCGACCGCAGCGGTTTGGGGATCCAGGACGAGGTGGTGTCTATGTGGAGCGAGTCTGAGCCCGTAGGGACGGGCGGCAGGGTTGTGGGCTTTGTCGCGTTGCCCGAAGCGGTGGCTGCGATGCCGCCCGAAGCAGCGGCAGCGGCTGCGGCTGTGGCTGCTCGGAGGTCGGCCTGGATCGAGTTGTGCTGGAGGACCATGAGCGAGAGGGCCGACGAGACCGAGGCCGAGATAAAAGTGGCCGCGACCCTGGCCCTGGTGAGTGCGAGTTGGCGGCGGACGTCTGGTGCGCTGTGGGAGAGTTTGAGGGCGTAGTACTTTGTGATGGGCCACCAGAGCATCGACTCGGAGATCTTCCAGCCGGCCATGGCGCAGAAGCAGCTGAGGGCCATTCCCTGTGGGCCAAGGGCTGCAACGAGCGCCTTGAGGATGGCCTGGAGGAGCAGTGGCAGGCGAGCGAGCGAAGGTGCGACGAGGTGGAAGGCGTCGATGGCCCTGGTCGGGAGCGAGGGGCGTCGGGTGGCCCAGTCGGTTGCGAGGGAGCGTTCTTCGTTGGTGCGTTTCTGTTGTGCGCGTATGCGTTTGAGTTCGGAGGTGGTGAAGCGGAGGAGGGCCTTTATGATGGCGGGGAGGATGTCCATGAGGTAGCCCAGGCCAAACGCCTTGATGGCGGGGAGGAGGAGGGCGGTGAGCTCATCGCTGCGCTTGGCCGAGAGCGGCAGGCGGCGACGACCGACGCGGCGGCTCGGTGCGAGCCCAGGCGGCGGCGGCGACGGCGCCATGGTGGACGCAGAAGAGGGCGAGGGCGGGAGGGTCTGTGGCCGATGGTGATGGTGATGATGGTGGTGGTGGTGGCGGTCGATGGCGGTGGAAGGCGGTCCAGGCCAAGCCAGGCTGGGCTGGGCTGTGCGGGGTCGGGTGCGGGTGCGGGTGCGGGTGCGGAAACGGTCCGGGCGTGGTCTACTGCTGCCACTCAAGCCAGGCCAAGCCGATTCAAGCCGATTCAACGTGGAAGAGACCTGCCAACATCGGCAGCATCCGCGACCGAGGCCCGAAGCAACCTAGCCTCGCTCCTAACTGGGCCAAGCAAGTCGGTCTCGAGAGCAAGCAAGCAAGCAGCGAGCGGGGCGGGCCAGCGAGATCCAGCTGCACACAGCAAAACCAGCGCCCCCGCCCCGCCCCGCCCAGCTGCCAGCTGCCAGAGCTGCCAGGGTCCGTGCAGCTGGCATCGCATGGCATGGCTAGGGCGCCGCGCGACTCGCCTGCAGCTCTCTGGGCTGGGCTGGCCCGACGCCCGCCGGCCCGCCTGCCCCAGCTTGGCCGTGAAAGCGGCGTCAGGGCGAGCACACCTCCTCACACGCCAACCACGGCCAGGCAGACTCTCCTCCTCACCCTCAATCTCGATTTGTTTGGCCTGTCGCCATCGGCACATCCCTGGCCGCAGCGGATAGCATTCGATCGGTCGCCGCGCCTGCCTACGGACGAGCAGCCTCGCCCCCCGGAGCGCGCACAATCTTGACAAACGAGTCGTCGTCGTCGATGACGCAAAACTGGTGCCTCTCGATCATCACCGCGACTCCTGTTCGCGCCTCGGGCCGGTCCATGCCAGAGAGAAGCGCGAGGGACGAGATCCAGGCCGTATCAACGTCAGCATCGCGCTCCCTCTATCCTCCTCGCCCGGAGTGCTCACAGCGATCGCTACTCACGTCCTCGTGCCTTGCGCGGCTTCTTCGGTCGGCGCACCTGGTCTGCCAACGTCATCGTCCCGAACCGCTCGCCGCTTGCGCCTCGGCCCAGCAGGCTTGATCTCCTCTCGAGCTTCTTGAGCTTCAAACGCAGCTCCCCGAGCGGCGTAGATAGCACCGACCGTCGCTTGACCGTACCGTCGCTCGTGTCGCCCGAAGCTGCGCTGCGCCGCCGCACGTCCTTCCATCCAGACACGGCAGCTGCTCCCGACGACGCCAGCAGCTGCAGCGACGACGTTGAGCGTCGCTTGCCCTTGGTCCGCCTCGAATCAGTCCGCGACGCCTGCACCCTCCCTGCCGCCAGCCCGCCGCCGCCTTGCCACGAGTCCTCGGCGGGCGTGCGAGGCACCGCGTCGTCGTGGGCCACCGCAGGCTCCGGCATCGACAGCTCCAGCGACGGCGGCGACCGCTGCCACACCGACGAGTCAAAGCTCAGCTCCCTCA